CAAAACACATGTTTTGATTTCTATCTTGAGATGCTAACACAGAAAATAGATTTTTACTTATTTCTGGAACATACCAGACATTTTCAAGATTTTTGATTTGATTCATCCCATTTACAATGGTCATTATCTTGTTAGTGCCTTTTCCAATTGCTGGTAATGACTTTCCATTTGCCACAGTGATTAACATTAAGTGATTAACATTTTCAATAAACCAATCATCAGAATTCGTTTCTGCAGAAAATATTGTATCATCTACAGCTAGAAGTGTCATATTTGCAGCAACACTGTTTTTACTTCCCTTGTTTGGCCCTATATGTGGACTGGGTTTCGGCGGTTTTCCATCAGCTATCCATTTCTTGCATGTTCTGACCCAATGTCCTCTCTGGTGGCAATAATTACACTTGCCATTGTTTTTCTTGTTAATAGATTATTTCCGGTTAAATTCCGGATTTGTTATCAATGCTTCCTGATCTTAAGTTTCTAAAAAATTTGGATCTTTCCTTAATTCTCTTTCATGGGTTGACAATTGTGTGGTTAATTCATCTAAAGTTCTCTTTTCATCACTAAGAAGAAACCAACTCGATTTGCAAGTACGATAACTGGGAGAAAGAGTATCCAATATTTTAAAAATCAACAGCATTTCTGGCAGTCTGTTTTCTTCCTTATTTTCAAGCCCACTGTTCAGTTCATTCCATAGATTTTTCAATTTTGACAAATGAGCTACCATATCATCATTTGACCAACTGAATTTGAAGAACTGTAAACATATGTTATAAAGTTAGTTATCGGACGAATCTTCGAATACTTTGTGAAGTTCCAGCCAAATGTCTCTTGCGCTGTCAAATCTCATTACCTTTCTTAAAGTGTTTTCAGTCATGGAGTTCGTAAGAACCATCATAGCGCAATTATTTGCTTTATTAAAAACCTTCATATCAACTCTAAATTTCTTTCGAATCTCTTCGGCGGCCGCATGATCAGGCTCCTCTGGCTTCTTCAGTTTTCCTTCCACGTCTTCTAAAGCGTTTTCGTGATAATTTAATACGAACTTAATTCTATATTTCCAAATAGGCCAATCACTTCTTCCACATAACGGCTGAACCAATATCTTTGCAGCTTCCATTTTTGCGAACTAATTTGCCAACTCACGTAAGGCTTAAGAACTGCCGTGTTAGGCTTACGAACTGCCGGTAATGTTTATCTCCACTTCGCTCATAAATTTCCCAGCACAGTTATATCATACCCATAACCTGATGAAGTCTAACGTTAGGAATGGAGACAAATAAATAAGCAGAGATTCATCTAAATTAACATATATAGAAACACAAGTACAGTAAATTCTACATGGTAAAGTAAAACAGTGACAACAACCAAAAAAAGCGTTGCCAAGAGAAAAATATAAAAAGCGTGTTGCCACACATGTTGTAATATACAAATGGGAAATATAATCACAAATAAAAGTTATTTGCAAAAGTATCGAGTTTTTTAACATAGCCAAGTTGTTTTAAGTGATTTTCAATGCATGTATGTGATACATGAAGCTTCAACACTGGACGACCAGAGCGTTTTTCATCTCTGAGTAAAAAATCACCAGAACGAAATTTGGCAAACCAATTTTGTCACTGCCGTTCTTTTAAGGCTTCGTCACCATAAACAGCACATAACTTTTTATGAGCTTGCGATGCGTTTTTCCCTTTGCGGAAATAAAAAAGCAAAATATAACGAAAATGTTCCTTTTGATTTTCCATTTTTCAACGAACGCCAAACGAAAACTACGCAACCATCAAAAAACTTTTTTTACTGATTGACAGCTGAATTGCCAACTATCAAATAACAAAATGTGTTTTACATTTGTACTATGTCTGCAACTCTAAAAATTCAACTGAAGCCATCTATGAGTGAAATCCACAATTACTTAGTTGCCAACCCAATAGATTTCTGTATCTATTAAGACTTTTAGATTTCTGAAACCTGTTTCATACTCAGTTTCAGAATTTTTTTTTATTTAAGTATCTGTGCTTTGTATTATTTCTGTTGTGTTTTAATTCCTAATCGATTTTTTTTAAATTTCTGTCCATTCATTTCTACTTCTTAATGTCAGTTCATCCAGAAGATGCAGATTTGAATTTAGGATATTTAATGTAGCATTAATTAAAGGATATTTAATTAATTTAGGATATTTAATTTTCGTTTGGCGTTCGTTGAAAGGATTTAGGATATTTAATGACCAGGGGCGTAGCTAGAGTTTCCAGCGCCCGGGGACAACTGAAGAACTTGCGCCCCTTTCTGTGTGCCAAGAATGGAAAACATTTCATTAAAAAATTTCATAGCATCAATTTGGCGTGCCTTGGATGCTGCGCCTGGGGAAAGTTATCCCCCCTTGCCCCACCCTAGCTACGCCACTAATTTGGACTTAAACAATAAGTCCCTCATTATTTCTTCACATTTCTGATCACTTACTGTAACTTTTTTTCCTGAAATGTAGTATGCAGTAATATTTATGAGTAACATGAGGTCAGTTTGCTTTAAAAATTCTTCTGTGAAAAAAGTTTCAGCTAGGTTAATAACCTTTGTATATTTTGCACACATTATTGCTTTTGCTTTGCATTATTGTTAATGCAAGTTTAAAACTGCTCTGAAGATAAAATGAATGTTTCTTCATAATGCTTTTTAAATAATCTAATTGCTTCATATTTTACATGAGCTTGTATCTTATATTTTTAATTTGTAAAATATAATATTTTGTCGATCATTTCTGGGAAATTTTTGTTAGATTATCAAATAACAGGCAAGCTTTTATTACTAATATTTTGTTATAGAACATCGAATAGAATGCTATATGATTTTATTATATGAACATTGATTTCTGTTCTGTTTTAAGTAGGTAACAAAATCTAACATTTTTAAGTAGTATAAAACTTATTTATTATTATTTCTTTGATTATTTTTGTCACTTTTGACAAAAGTAATGTTAATATAATAAATATTTTTCTTTTAAAGTAAGTAACAATTAGCCTTTTCTGTTAAATTTTAAAGTTTACTTAACATAATATTAAGAATGCCATTTATGAATCAGAAATAATAATTAACTAATACTTAAAATCGTTTTAGAAAATATTTTCATTTGAAACAGATGACTGAAAAAATTTTTCTCATAGCTCATCCCATTTTCCATAGTTTTCTTTCAATAATATATTAACAGAAAGATGGCGAATTGATTTATGTGCACAAAGTCCAAGATTTGAAATCATCGAAACCTTGCGAATTCTGGATTTGATTTCCAAATTTTTTATCTGCACTTTAAATCTAGTCATGACATACAGAAATTATAAAATAAAAAATGTTTTATATGGATAGTTCTTTAAGAAAGAAAAGAATCACACCTTTTCTTTCTTAAAGAACTATCCATATAAAACATTATAACAAAGAACTATTTTACATATAGAAATTCCCCCCCCTAGATCACCAATATGAGAAAAAATGTGACTCAAAGCCAAAATAGTGATATTTTCTGAGTTTAAAACCACACCACAGATATTTCACATTCCATTAAAACTGATTGATGATTGAGGCATTATCATTACAATGTAAGATTTCAGTTGTATCATCATTTTTCATTTCATCTTGCATTACATTAATCAGACATTACTTGTATCATCATCTTGCATTACATCATCTTGACATCAATCAGACATCATCTTGCATTACATTTTATTATGCAAAGAATTTTTTAAAATATCTGTGGGTATGTTTTCTGGTAGTCTTGCAACAACCCACATATCAGGTTTCATATTAAAGTATTTCTATAATTCTTGGATGGGCTTATTGTTACACTGGTTTTTAAAAGTTACTTTATAACTGCATTTCAGCAGTCACAAAATTCCAATATCCATTGGCAGATTGACAGATGAATGGTTTTGGAGAAAGAGTGAAACAAAGACATTATCATTTATTAAAACAGTAATTATGATAAGATTAATAGTAGGTGGAACAAAATAATAAGCCACTTCAAATCAGAAAGTTAAGAAAGAATGGATTTGCTATATTATCTGAACTTAAGTTTCTCAGAATCTAATTCCTTCTCCCTTTCCTTTTGTGAATATGAGCAACATCCCATTCTGAATAAATGGGCTTCACTTGTTAAATTGAAAAAAAAAAAGAAAGAAAGAAAGAAAGAAATACTACTTTGCATACACACATACTCAACTACTCAAGGGCCAAAAGTGTATTCATGGCTAACATCAGTACAATGTCAATCAATGTATTGTAATTGGCCATGGTGTGATTCTCTAACCAGCAGCTGTTTGAAAGAAAGGAATTTAGTCTGAGGAAAAATTATTTTTATGGCATGCCTTTTCTGGAGTAGTTTTCATTCCTAGACTTTATAAGGAAAAAAAAATTTTTGCTGGTAGTCTAGAAGTTCAAATATTAGATCATTCCATATACTGGACATCCAGATTTGGGACTTTGTATGATGGATTTAAAATACTTCTGCTTTCTAAATAAATTTAGGACAAAATGTAATTGTGTGTAGTATAATTTAGAAAAAGAATGATGTCTTACATATAGGCTTGATAAACACAAATAGTTCAGTATATCAATAATTTTACTAAAAAAATTGTTGTTATTTTTAATAAGAAAAATCTGCCAAGTGGTATGAATTCAACTGTATTCCGAGATCAAGTGTATGTTTTAAAATATTTTTAAAGTATTTAAGCATCTGTTCTTAAAAAGTTTTGCCCTTTAGATGGTAAATTATACATATAATCTGTGTTTCTTAAGCTTATTTTAAATGGTATTTTTGATTAAAATGAATTATCCAGTTTTAAATTAATCCTAGATATATTTTTGTATATTCATTGTATGTATTCAAATACTGTTCTAAAAATGCATTTTAAATTTGATCTTTGTTAATATTTAAATCATAAAAATATTTATTCCATTTCAGTATAATACTAAATGTTTTGTATAGAATTTTTGTTAAGCATATTTACTTTGTTTAGATGAAACTGGAAATATTCTTGCCTAAGAGAAATTCGCCATCTTACTGCGGATATAGCTCATCTACCCGTTGCATTGTTGCTGTGAATAAGCGTCCAGTTCGAATGAAAGCGATTGACAAGGTAATTTTTGCTTTGCTCCTCAATAAATTTGCATTGGAAACCATTACAGGCTTTGCTCCTTTGTAATTAAGTCAGGATTGAGTACATCGTCTTGTGAAAAATTACTCACAGTCCCTTTATTGTAATATTTCACTGTAAAATTTATGTAATTTACAAAATAATGTGAACAGTTTAATTTTATGAGTAAGTTATGTTCAGAAGCAGAAAACACGGTTTAAATTTTTTAAACTTAAGTTTGAAAGTAAAGTTATAAGTTATATAAACTCTATCAATTCTAAAAATCTTTTATCAATACTTAATTATCTGCTACCCCACCATAAAGTTGCGAATTCATTGCCAACAAGAGAAAGGAAAGCAAAGAAAAAACATCGCAGTTCTAAAACATTGTGGTACAAAATATCGTCACCAAAAATGGTTAAAAAATTTTGCAATTTAAAAATATTGTGGTATAAAATAAAGCAGTTAACAAATCATTGCATGATGATTACATGACAAACATGGATTTTCCAATCTTTAAAAGTTGTAAATGCATATTGCAGAAATTGCTAGAGCAAAAATTCATGAAAAATAAATTTCTTTGCAAATGATAAAAAGATATAAAATATATTGATTATTGCCAGCTATTGATGAAAGTCATAATGACATTTGAAAAAATTTTGCAAGCAGTATCTTACTTATGTAATTTCAATTAATCATTCCCAATACACTTTTATATATATCACAGTAATAGTGTTGTTACACGATATTACACAATTATTTTCACTAAATATTTCACCTTTTGAAAGAAATTGTTTCCAAGTGGATGTATGCTGTTTATTTCTCTATCAGAAATGTATTATTTTGTGCTACTATTACTACGTATATTTTATTTTGATAGAATAAACTATTAAATTTTTGATTTGACTGACAAAAAAAATTACTTAATCCTTTTGGTATTAAACCAATACTTTCTAATAGAGGATTTTACACTTTAGAAAATTACTGTAGATTTCGGTTTCTGTATGGTTGCTCCATAATGTAGCGTTCTTTGCTGGGTATCAGTAGCACTGTATATGAGATCCCGATTTTAATCTACCACTGCATATCTGATATTCTGTATAATAAATTCTCTCATGTTTTTTAGTAATTACACGTGTTAGCTATGTTTTTCAATACTATTCTTTCTATACATTTGCATATGTTTAATTGACTGATAATAAACCACTAAACTTTCAAACTACAGTTTGAAGAGAGGCTTTTCTACAATGAGAATTTGATTAAGCAGCCTTTTTGGATCGAATCTCAATAACCAGTTTTTCTTTTTAAAGAGTTTATGATATTTTAAAGTCTTGATGTAATGTTGAGAAGTTATTATTGGAAAACATCTTTTTTCTGTTGTCTGAAAGCTTTATGTAAGTGTAGTTTGAAAAATCTCACTTCAAAATTTGAAAATTCTTCTTTTAGGCTTTGTTTCTTAGTGCCATTGTTAACTTTCTAAGTCTTAAAAGAAAATTGAAATTCCTGTGGCTAGATGTCCATCTGTCCAACGCATACACATGACTCGAGAAGTACAAGCACTTGAATTCACTTACTTGCGTTACAAATTAAACTAAACTGAATGCTTTACATCAGGTTTTTAAATGAGTTGATACTTAATTGCATAATTCTCTTGACAGATCCTGAAAGAATATCATAATAACTGTGTGGATGGATCTAGTTCATCTCGTTATCCTATTTGTTACTTATCAATCACCCTGCCTTTAGCCAGTGTTGATGTTAATGTTGAACCAAATAAGACATCTGTTTTGTTGCATAATATGGTAAGCCATGTGTTTATGAAAAAAAGTATATTAGACATATTAAAAACTGAAGATTATTTTTTAAAATTTTTTAAAAGAAATTTTTAATTGTTTTATAAAAATTATTCTTTAATCTTGCGTTGTACTTTGGATTTTTTCTGTAAATTTTAAGCATAAAAATGACATTAATTAGCTTATTATGATGAAAGTCAATTAGCTTATTATGATGAAAGTCAATTAGCTTATTATGATGAAAGTCAATTAGCTTATTGTGATGAAAGTCAAAGTTGGTTTTTTTTAAATATTTCAAATTAAAAACGAATGCAGTCTTTAAAAATATAATTTTCTTGTTGTCTTTTCCTAGTTTGTGTTGTTATAAATAATAAGAAAATGATACTTTCTGATTATCTGCACTCCCAATTTCAACGCTCAGTAGAACTGCCATGTTTTTTGGCATATTTTTTAACATGCATGCTCAATCAAGCCATATGTTTGAGTACACGTGAATTTTCATACTTTGTATTTAACTGATAAGTACCCTCATTAATTTTTTTTTTTTTTCAAGTGCTCCTTTAAGTTAGCTTATAGTATGTTTACAGACAATAATAAGTCTGTGAACAGACTTATTATTGTCTGAGCTAACCAAACGACCATTTTTACCAATTCACTAATGAGCTGGAAACGCTTCTGGAAAATACAGATAGTCAGAAAGTACCTAAAAATTATATGGTAGTTTTCACAAAAACATCAGCATAAAAATAAATGATGAATCATCTTTCATATATTTGATATGGCTTGAAAATATTATCCTCTTCTCCCAGTCTTGCATCAGAGAAGTATAGCCCATTATTAAGAGGAAAAATGTGAATAATTGGTTAAACTTTTAGTATTTTATTTTGAAAAGTCTTTGCTGATAAATTATTCATTATTGCCCTCTCTGAACTATGAAATATGTTATCCCCTGAATTTCATGATAAATTTCCATTGCATAATGAAAAAATAACATAATAAAAATTATCTCTCTTGGTTATATATTAAAGTGAAAGTTACTGGTTGTATGTTTCCTTGCGTGTATTTAAAATAGTTATCTGTTTTTTAATTGCTTTAGGATGAAATTTTAGAGGAGCTTTCCAAGCTGTTGAGTACCTTCTATGAGACAAGTTCATCTACTCAGAAGGAATGTCGTGATCCATCTTCATCTGGAAATTATTTATTGAATAATGAACAGGAAAAATTCAATGGGCATAAAATGCCCGATACATCAGAAAATCTTCTAAAAAATCCTACATTTGATAAACAAATTCAGCACTCTATGCTTAGCTCTCAACTTGGAAATCCTGTTTGGACTGGTGCTTGTAAAGAGACTCTTTCTGCGAGTAAGAAGATGAGTCGAAAGAATAACTTAATTACTCCAACAAATAAAAGAATGAAAACTTCAACTGGCAGTACTTTACCAGCAGATGATGTGCTTAAACATATAAACACCATGAACAAATTCTTTTCATCTAAAGAAAATGTGCCAGAAGATAAAAATAAACTTTTAGAATCAAATTTAAAGCCTACTGAAAATCTTTTTGCCATTACTGTGCAGAGGAACGATTTTAGAAATACTGGTAATAAAACTACTGATTTAGATCAGTGCAATAATAAAAACAGTAGTTCTGTGGCTGAACTTGCTAATAATAGCGGCCTTATAGCGATGGAATGTGCTTTAACATCTGAAAGGAAAAGTTCTTCTCTTCAACCATGTGAAGTGACAATAAGCACAGATAACTCTAGCACATTTTATGCTACAAAATCATGGTCTCATGGAATACATCCAGATGGCAAATTTGTCCAGGTACTTTAAAGTTTGATAACTTGTTTCAAAGCAATAAAATTCTGAATTTTATATTGAAGGTAATTATATCAGTTCATCACAATTTCATTTATATCATATCTAATGTATATTTTGTTTTCAATATACAAGTATGTCTTTGTTTTATAGCTTTATTGTTACCTCTCACAGATAATGAATAGAGAGGATACTCAATTACAATTTTGTGCATCTTTTTAGATATATGATTCTGATAAACTCTAATGAATCTTTTATTGAAATAATATTATAATAATATAATACATTATTAAACTAGGCTGGTAATTAACTGAGGAGAAGTGGTATAAGTGCAACTTTAGTCACTGTAAAGAGGTTTCCATAGAGCATTCAAAATTGCCAAAAAAAAATTAATAAATAAATAATGAAGTGGCATCTATAATTCACTAGAAAATTAATGCACATTAGTGTAGGAGTTATTCTCATTTTTATACATGTGAAATCTTCTATAGCAGTGATCCTATCTAGTAGTTGTATCAAATATCAGTAGTAGATCTGAAACACTTCTGCCCCCATATTATCATTTATTATTAGAAATGAAGACGCATCAGAATATCATTTTTAAGAGACTTTTTTAAGTATTATTGTCTGAAACATTTATCAGTTTTCAGTATCGGAATTTTATCAAAAAAAAAATATTTTGCTAGCACTATACGTAGGATCGAACTATTCCCAAGGGGCTCTTCTGTATCTAATCAATGCTTAACAGTTGTCAAGTTGTTGAAATAAATCACTAAGAGATCCATTGCAGATTAAGTAGCATTTAATTAACACCAAAAGAAATTATACACTTAAAGGGATCGTATTCATCATTACTGCATCACAGACTCGTGTGCACAGTTAAAAGTCAAAACCTTAAAATGTCTCTTCAGTTCAGCTTTTATACTACTGGGAAAGCATTCACCTATCGCTTCATTTCAAATCTGGTGAGGTTGAGGCTGACTTCTAACACAATTTATTAATTTGTTAAACTTTGCATCAGTTAGCTGGCAGGTTTTGGAATCCATTATAAAAATGACAGTGAAACAATTTTTGCTAAAATAAAAGAGAGCTTCTATTTATTTGTTTGCATGTGTCCAATTATGCTTTTTGTTTGTAATTATTAAAACTCCTATCCTGCAATGAATTATGAATAATGCTTCTGTTCATTTACTTATTGCTTGTTGTTGTATAGTAATATACATCTTTCTTTTAAAAAAATGATTGTTACAATATTTATTTCTTCAGCTTGGTAGCAGAAACTGCTGTGCATTAACCAATAAATACCCAAATTCATATACTTAAAAAAATCTCTTTCTTACAGCCTGTTTCTGTTCTCAAACCTAAAATGCCATGTCGTTCTTCTAACACTGATGAAAACATCCTGCATGTTCAAAGCTTAGAAGAAAAGTCTTCTGGAACTAATAATAAAATTCACAAAGACAATGACAAGATAGAGTTTCCTAATAATATTTCAGAACTTCAGCGTAAACTGACTGCTTTTGATTATTTTTGCAGGCAAAACAGGCTTGAAGGTATTTAACAGTTTTTTGCTTCTAGAATGAAATAATATCTATACAAAATCAGTTATTGCATTCATGTCCATAAATTAAAGAATTTGTTACCTAGGATTGTTTTGATTTGTCTAGGTACAACAAACATTTGCTGAAAGAATGAATATAACGCGTTAACACAAATTAATCTAGAAATAATTGTTTGGATTTACTTGACCTGTGGATCAAACAGAGGAAAATAGATACAGTATGTCTGTTGTGATATTGTGGCAAGAATGCTTTTTCCACTGCTGGTTTTGAAGAGATTTATTATGTTTATGAGGACTGGCTGCACAGGTTTTACAGCAACCACTGTGATCTCGGTAGTCATTCCTCATAACATATAAAATGCTATTGACGAGCCTCTGTAGCACTTTCTTGTGCAAGGAATCTCATTCTTAAAACAAATACTCTTCTGATTTCTCCAAGGCTTGTAATGGATGGGTTATGCATTGCAACGTAGCAGATGAGGGCATTCCATACATGTTCAAAACAGCACTTAAAAGGCATCAAATAGGCTAGTTCAAATTATCTATTATTGAATTCCAGATACCACTGAAACTAGCTAAACTCCCTAAACTCCTTAGAATGGAATTATAGTTAAGTAAAACCCAGGAGAAAATGCATTCCTAAAGTCTGACATACTGATCCAGGATGATATATGTATAAACCTTAATTATTGCAGTATGGTTGCCAATGATTTAAAAATTTCGGAGTTCCTATGGTTCAAAACCATCTACCTCCACATCAGAATTACTAAGAGCGAGCAGAAATAGGAAAAATTTTGCATAAGTGATTTACTTGATGCACACTAGAGGGAGCCACAGGCTCAAGAAAGTTTAGGGATAGAGATGAGAAAATAAAAACTTAAGTATCATAATCTTTTTATAAGTTTTTAGGTTTTTAAAATTTTTTTGTATTTTATATTTTATACTTTTTTTGGTTTTTTATAATTTTTTATACACAGTACAAACACTAAAGCAAAAAGTGGATAGGAAAGATTTTACGATTAATAGGCTCATTGGCATGTGGCTTGTGTTGGGGAGTGCAAATAATTATTGAGGTCGCGATGAAAATATTCTTAGGCAGATTTGAAATCTGCGGGAGATGTGATTCTTAAGTAAACAGATTGATAACTTTGCTTGAAGATCTTGATAGTAGTAGCAGAGGATGAAATAAGCAATTATATGGCAGCTCGCTGAAGAGACGTCCTTCCTTCATGGCGCGGGAGCTGGAACTGGTGTTGAGATGCTTAAATGCTTAAATGCTAATTGCTTATGCTTATATTAGCCCAGTTGGGCTTTAATAAGCTATATTGATCTAATCCCCTAAGGACAATCAGAATGTCAACTATCAGCTAGTTCCCAGCCAGGAAATCGGAGCGGGTAAGGAAAAGAGGGCCCATCGGCCATAGTGACAAAGTCCAATCATCAAAGTAACTTAACTCTTACCCCTGAGACAAGAGTAATAATCACGTGTATGGAGCTATGAAGATGCAAAAGAAATGAAAATACATGAAATGTGCATAGGATACAGTGTTGAACATGTAATAAACAAATGAAAGTGAAGTAATGTACGCATAAAAATGTGTTATTTACATATTTGAAAACGAGTGGGCTAAGTGACAAAATTGTGATCCCTCATTCTGTGAGCCGTAAAAGGCCTGATATTGTAGTCCTCAGGAATGCAGACATAGTTCAGTACAGCATTAAAGTTTCCTTTACTGCAATTCAAGCCTTTGTCAAAGAACTTGCTGTTAAGTTTTTGCAGATATTTGTCAATATATTCAACTTGTAAATCATCGTGCAGGAGTTTGTTACGGATGTAAAAATGCGCTCCTGTCATGGTGCGTAAGATTGTGTTTTGAGTCACCTGCAATTTGTTGATATCTGAGCTCGTAGCGTAGCAGTCGCCCAGATAGGGGACGCATAACACATAATTGGTCTTAAAATGAAAATATAAATCTGTCTTTTCCTTCTCAGATCTAACTGCAAGCTGCGCCCTAGCAGTACTTGTAATTGTTGAGCAATTCCTCTGGTCTTGTTTGCAATGTAATTGACATGCGTACTCCACGTGAGTCTTCGATTCAAGTAAACACCTAAATACTTGGCCTTGTTTACCATCGGGACACGTTGGCCGAATAGGTAAAGTGGCTGAACTGAGACCAGTATTTTCTTCCTTCTAACAAGAAGTAGCTGTGATTTAGTCGCATTGATGGAAATCTTCCACCTGGAGCACCACTCCTCAATGTCCATAATTATATCCTGCATAACAGAAATTGCCCTGTTAGGCTGAATAGATCTGACCGCTACAGCGGTGTCATCCGCATAGCAGGCCAGCAATGTATTTCTGTTGAGTTTATCCCCGCGGGAAATCAGCCGCATAGAAAAGATAGAGTACTGGGCCAAGACAGGACCCCTGGGGGACGCCTGCAGCGATAGTTTTGTATCCAGAATGACTTTGCTTGCAGCTAACTGTAAAGTAACGATTTGCAATATAAGATCTGGTGAGTAAGATCAGTTCTCTAGGCAAATTCATCATTATCAATTTATATATTAAGCCCTCATGCCAGACACGGTCAAATGCTTTGGCCACGTCCAGCATGAGCACTGCAGTACAACTCTTATGATGCAGAGCAGAGCCGATAAATTCCACAAGCCTAATCAGTTGTTTAGATGTGCAAAGTTCGCTCCTAAATCCGTACTGATCTTCCGGAAGTACCTGTAAATAAGGCTGGAATTTCCTTAAAATTATTCGTTCAAAGATCTTGCCTATATTAGAGAGCAAGCTTATGGGCCTGTGATTCTCCGCCTTAGTGATGTCTTTTGCAGGCTTCGGTAGTAGGAAAACTTTTGCGTACTTCCAGCAGTCCGGGAAGTAGCATAACGTAATGCATATATTAAAAATGCTGGAAAGTCTTGTGATTCCACCGCGCGGGAGGTTCCTGATCATTAAATTTGTAACTCCATCAATACCTGGGGCTTTCTTGGGGTTCAATTTGGAGATAATATCCGTAACTTCTCTTGGATTAGTTAAACCATCGGCATTTAGAGCCGTGGGAGCACCTAGCCATTCTTCTACTTTCATTCTGACTTGGGTCTCAAAGTGAATATTACGAGGTGTCTGATTGGGAGAAAACTGCTTTTCAAGATGTGAAGCAAAAATCTGACATTTGTCAGTATCTGAATAAGCAGTGACGCCGTTGGCAATAATTGGCCTATCACACTGATGCGTCCTCTTTAACATTTTTGTAAACTGCCAGAAGGCATCACTGTCTAAGTTTAACTCCTCCATTTTAACATTCCAAGCCTCACACTTTAATTTATGCATTTCAAGCTTAATATGCTTACTGATCCTATTTAACTCCGTTTTAATAATTGGGTCCCAGGTGATATTATACCTCCTTCGCAGCCTGTTTCTTTCGGCTATGAGAGATTTGACGTACCTTGGAATCTTAGCGATTTTACAAGACCTTTGAGTAACCTTGGTGGCCTCATAGTAAGAGTCATTAAGACATGTAGTAAACTTATCAATCTCCTTGTCAATATCAGAAGGGCTTTTCATAGCACCTAATTTAGGGAGCCTCACTTTCACAACATTGTGGTACATTCTCCAGTCGGTATGGGTCTTAACATTCGTATAATTAATACTGGTGACCCCTAGTGTAGCAATCACAGGAGTATGATCAGAGCTTAAGTCGTCTCGAACCTCCAGCACCATATTAATTCCTGTATTAGTCAAGATGATATCTAGAATATCAGGAGTGTACCTGATGTTGCTGGGCCTGAACGTCGGTACGTCAGGCGCAAATATACCAACTGGGTGGTTACTGATATACTCTCTCAGTACTTTACCATTGTGATTGGTGCTGCGGCAGCCCCAATCTTTATGCTTACTATTGAGGTCGCCACCAACAATCATTATTGAAGGAATCCGGAATAATATTTTGTAACATTTCCTCAGTTAGCCTATTAGTAGGGGGGTTGTAGATTGCCGCAAATAAGGTATCTCCAATCTTAGGCAAGCTAATAGAGGCAATCACAATTTCATAGCCCTTGTCTCTTTCAGTCGAAATTAAACAAGATGAATATTTACAATGAACGTAGATGAGTGCTCCACCTCCTCTGTGATGTAACCTATCACATCGGTAGGTTCTATAATTTTTGATGCTAACTCTGTCTCCTGGGGTGATGTGCGTCTCGGAGATCAGGCAAATATCAATGTCGTTCTCATACATAAAGTCCTCCAACTCATCTTTCTTTCCTCTTATGTTGTTAGCATTCCACACTAACATCTTGATTGGCCTAAAATTATTATCTTTCCTATCCATGATTGGGTTCATTATTGACCGCGTTGAAACTACTAGCATTTGCGCTAGGAGCTAAATTTACTTGTAGAATGCCGGAAGCCTTAATAGCCTCAACAAGGTTTTTAAGCCCTTCAAAAATACTTCTAGCTTCATCTAGAGTATTCATTGTTTGCCCGCCAACAGCGGCGGCATAAGATTTATTGATAATTACTCTATCACTGAAATTCTTCAAAGGCGGATTTTGAGTATTTATTTTGGGAAAATTCGGGCAACCCCTGTAGTTGCTTGTATGATCTAATTGGCAATTTATACACTTAGGTTTATCTTCTCTTGGCTTGGGGCAGTCTTTTGAATAATGATCGCCAGCGCATTTCATGCATTTCGGGTCATGCATACATCCTGCCTGGGCATGATGAAATGCTTGACACCGAAAGCATTGTACCGGCCCTTTCCTTCCTTTGTAAGCTTCTACTTTAACATTCAGCAAACATAATTTAGTTATATTATGTATCCCTCTCGCTCGCTTTTTCATTCCTCTTCAAAATAACTAGAAACAGGGGCAGATTAAATTTTTCTCCATTTCTGCGTCTTACTAATTGCGAGACTCGTTCAACTGGGAAACCTCTATCTATCAGTTCATCAGATATCTCTGAGGTTGGCGTGTCGATCGGTA